CTCCTCCTCCTCCTCCTCCTCTTCCTCTTCCTCCTCCTCCCTTTTTATTCCCTTTTTTCCAGACTAAATATTATGGCAGTTCTTTAAAATATAATATCATATTTCCCAATGCATGTACATACGTTTTACTACTTTTTGTGAACTTCTCGTCAAACGTTTTTGAAGTTAAGAAATAAATGGCATTATTTAATGTAACCTGGTCAATGCCCCTTGTGGGTAACTGATTTTGGAAAATTGTAGTATCACTTGACACTAAGATATTTTGGTTATTTTAATTTTTCTCTTACATTTATTGTGATTTTTCTCTCTTCTCAGATATTCAGGCTGGCGATCCTGGATGGTATCAAGTGCTTACTGGCAATCTCACCACAGAGCAACAGAAGGCACTGCAAGAAGTAATGTTGCTAGCAGATCAACGGAAAGCTGCTGCTGAAAGCAAGAGGATAGAACAGAGTGGAGGTCAGTAACTGAAAGGGCATCCAAGATTTTATGATGGATTTTGCAGTTATAATTTCAATGTTTAGTTCAATAGAAGTTCAGTTGTAGTTCAATCAATATCACTTTTCTTTGGTTCAGAAAATCTGTAAGAGAATCTTATTACACCAAGGCACTCTTTTAATTTTTGTTCATGTACTGTATAGTAAGTTGCCATTAAAGCATAACATGTAGGTTTGAGACATCGGCCTTTTCTGATAAAAAGCGTTTATAATCCTGGAATGGATCAAGTAGTATGAAGCTGCCTATGAAATGCAGCTCACAAATCTGAACAGTTCAAGTGTGATGTAGAGAGAAGAATTCCAAAAGAAAGCATGGAAGTGAATTGTCAGAAACCAGAGAAGAGGTTTATGTTACCTGTGTTTCTATCAAAAGAGTATCCAGCTCCTAAGATGTTCCTCAGACCTTTCTTTGGCTCTTCTAGACTGGACCATTGGAGAAACAGACTCAAGACAACAAATATGGCAGAAAAAAAAATAAAAGATTTTGAAGAAATGTCTGAAACTTACGCCTCCATTTGTACTTTCTACAGGATTGCGTGTAACATCAAGCATGACTCTCATTCTGGATTCATCATTGCATTTGTTCAAGTTTGTTTTGTCACAATGTTCTGTTTTTTACATGCACTGATGTAATTTCTAGTTCATGTTAGATATCTTCATTTCTCTTATGATACATCAGCTTGGAACTTGCCAATGGTCTTCATGGGAATTTTCCACAGTTTCTCCCATACAAAGAAGGTTCCATTTAAATCTATAAGTTCTGGTATGTTGAATTCCTTGTGATTCTCTAAGCTGGTTATTTCAGAAAAGTCTGTACTTGATCTCTTTGCTCTGAAATTAGTTGTTCTCCCAGAAGAAGAATATTCTTAGGGGTCTATCTTTGGTGTCATTTTGTCTAGAAATTTTAAATAATTGTGCAAGAAATCAGGCTTGTAGGATTTAGACCCAAATGTTATGTGGTTCTCAACATTTGGGTTTTGTTATGTGTAGAGCCCAGAAGTTCAGGAATTTATTTTACCTAAAATAGGCAGGTTAAAGGCATTTATTTTTACTAAAATAAGCATTTAAAAATGACATTCTAGCCAAAGAAGGTGTGCAAAAAGGCATGTAAACAATGAAAAAATTGTACACCTAACAAAATTGTAAAAAATTAATAATTAAAATTATTCAAACACTAAAATGAACATGATCTTGTGGTATGATGGCTATGAACTCCTCTTATTTGAGATGCTGTCTCTTTGAATAGCTATCGCGATCACCCTTTTGAATGTTGAAATGCCATCAGTGAAAACGTAATTATATTTTTCGTTCTTCACACTTGTGTTATTGCCAACTGTAAGAGAGTATATCGTACATATAGAGCTGTCTGCAAAAATATTGATCACACTCAAAAGTAGAATGCAATTGATCGTAAGCGAATAAAGCCCATTAACTTCAGTTAAAAAAAACATTAATCTTTATTGGTATCATCTTCCGTTTTCATTCAGATTTTTCTCATAAAGTCTGATTTCACAGGAAGACAAAACGACCGTGCCTTTGTTGTCCAGTCTTGGAGGTAGTATATATATCCGACTTGATTGCGATCAGTGACAGGAGGAAAAAGGTAAAAATAGGCATCAGAAGCTAAAGTAGGCAAAATAAAAATCTAATAACGAGGGAAAAGGCAGAAAAAAAGGCAAACTGGAAAAAATAGGCAAAATAAAAATCTACTATAACAAACCCGTTCAATTAGTGATTCCAAATTCATAAAATAGTAAAATAAAAAAAAAATTCATAAAATAAAGTCATAAAATAGTAACAATAACAACAAAAGGCATTTTGCCAAAATTCATGGGTTTAGTTATGTGGTATTAAAATTGCCTGTCTATCAATTACCAACAAAGTGTTTACTACCAGTGTTCTCAAAATTCTGTACTGTAGTCTTAAATTCAAATTATTTTCATTACAAGGGGAACATACAAGTTCTCAAAACTTGTTTATAACTTTTTTTTCAGCATCTGCATGAATGTAAAAAAGATTATTACTTGCCATTTTTAGAAAACGGTAAACACCATATCAGTGAGTGGAAAAGGGAGGAATACCTCAAGAGGAGTGTTGTTTAAAATTAGATAAAAATAACGACTTTCCTGAGTTCCTGACCTATGGCATAGGGGAAGCCCATTTTGTTGAATGAGTTTCTGCTAATATTTTGTTATTCCTGTGGACCTATATTTGAACCCCATCCCCGATTATGATTGTCCTTTCTTTTTTCATGTTTTCTCCTATTCGTGCCATTACTCTATTCCTAATTTTGTCATGCTAAATTTTGACTCTAAAGCTCACCAAAAACTGACCTAAAATTCAATGCTGCTCCTTTACTTTTAAATTCTTGATGGCCATCATCTGTGTTTCTGTTACATATTTCAGCTTTTCTCTGTTTGCTTTTGATGTATTTAGATTCTCAGAATTATCTTCTCTCATATACTGCCAGTGTGCTTTATTACAGTTTCTTGTATTAAATCCATTGATCCATTTGAAGGTCACTTATAGGATTTATATTATTTTCATCATTATTATTTTTAGAAACTGTCTCGCCTCTCAGATGGCTTTGCCTCAGAAGATTTTGATTTTGTGGAATTATTCTTCATTATTTTATTTATGTCAATAGCTCATTTTTGTTGTTTCTATTGAACCTAAAGTCTTTGGTTGGTCTTTGTAAATCACACAATGATGTATCATATTTCATGACACATGTGTGGATTTCTTGACTTATGTACTTCATGTAGATGTTGGAGACTAGTGTGTGAACTTGAGATGGATGTTAATATTTGTGTGATGTGTATCTTCATATTTCTATTATTGCTTTCTTTTTTCTTCTGTCCACCGTTGGAAATAAAATAGTACTTTACATTAGTTGAAATTCAACTCTTCAATGAGAAAAATGTTTTGTTTGTTACTCTTTGTCTTCTTTTTATAAAATTTTATAAAAACATAAAATGCTGGGGAAATTATAAAAATATTTTGTTTTAAAAAATGAAACACATTATCTTTGTTGGCTTAAGTCCTACAAACACATGCAAAAATTTGCAGTTACTTGAATTTTTATGTAGTATTGAATGAAGTTACATGTCTTTATAAAAAAAAACTGGTGTGTTCTTATGTTGCAGGTTATGTTTTCAACCAGCAGACTGTGCCTACTTCCTTCAACTTTGGCGGTGCTCCATTGGGTCGATAAGAATACTGTTAAGTGCTGTGAACACAGAGAGGCAACAAGAATGGACTTGTGTGAACAATCATGTTGTGACATACCACTAAACTAATTAAAGTACTACAAAGAAGGAAACATTTGAAAAATGTTACTTGTGTTAATTGTGCACTTTTTGTTAGTTTTGTTCTTTTGATTATTGATTCCAGGCATAGCTTTTCCAGACTGATATTGCAAGCACTAGGAATTTTTTTAATTAATTGAAGTGCAGCAGATGTAAATTTCACAGGATTTCTAAGGCAACAGTTGCATTGATATCAACATATTGATTAACTATTTTACTAATTTCCTGTACATGATAAATTTGTCATGTCGTGAAGAAGTGTGTTTGTTCAAAAAGTAAGAACATCCACATACTAATAGTAAATGGTTACTTTCAGTGCACAGATTTATATGGCTCAACTTTTTAATGTGATTTTTGGGAATTGTACAGTCTAGTAAATTCACCATACACTCAACGCGTTTGATTTTAAATTGAATACTCAATTGTATTTAAATTTTGTCTGTTGTAAATTGCTCGTGTTAAAATAGTTGTGTCCTAATCTCAAGCCAGATTATTTATTAGCTATTTATTGAGAAGACACTTGTGGGTAAATAGGTGTGGAATTTTCAGAGACTTCACTAAAGCTGATTTGAAAGAGCCCTGATGGAGCATGTATTCTCAAGTGTTTTTCTGTGTACAGACTGTTGGATTTACAAATGTGAACTCTTCTTAATAAGTGTAGATATTATGATGCAGTACTGCAACCTGTCTTCTGCCCTTCGAGTTATGGAGGCTCGAGTTCCAATTTTTTAACACTATCAGAGCCCAATACGATATAAGTGTACAAATGCGGTGTGGCCAGGTACTCAGTTTATGTAAACAATGGTATAAGACCGTAGAATTGAGGGTGTATGAATTTAATGACGCTAGGCAGTCTCTTGGCAAGCTTCAGGAAATTCTTATGATGGAGAATACAAAAATATATGTGCCTTGGAAGTGTTGGTTTGCTGTTTCATGGGTATGGGGGACCTGAATTAAAATACAGTTAATTACAACTGTAGGTCGGAACAGTGAGAGTACTTGTGAACACACCCTTCGGAATGGAACCTTTCCACTGCTCTGCTGTGGAGATTTTATTCCAACTTAATATTAAAGTCTAGGCTACAGGTAAATTAAGAAATAAAGTTTTTAAAGTTATTATGTATGATAAAGGTGAATGGTGCTGCTTCAAAATCAAAAAGTGTTTGAAAAAAAAAGCAAAAAAAAGTTGGGATGCAAGGTCCTAAACTTATTATAAGTTGCATTGTTCATAATTCCGTAAGGCCTTTCCAGGTCTTGTAGTGCAAGGTAATGTAAATGCTATGTGGATTTTTTTCTGGTTTTTTTTTTTTTTGGAACATGCATCCTCACTTCAGCTTTCTTTCCTATTCGGTGTTTATTAATAAATTTGCAGTTCAATTTAATGGTTGTGGAAATTTTCACAAGCAGAACAGATGGTGTTTCATGTTTGTATAATACCTATTTATTGCACAGTTAATATTGCAGGATTTTATATAATGCATACTGAATGTTATTTCCGTTCTCATACTATATACACTGTAATGATGGTTATTAAAGCAGTGGAACCAGATACGACTGCATCTGACTATATTGAATGTCAGATTATTTTACTACTTTTTCTGCAGTTATCTTTAGGCTTACATGAAATGATAGGGCTAGCTGAGCTTGGGCTTAAACCTGTACCTGGTGGGATTGGATTGTGTGTGAAGAGGGTAAGAGGATTTCACATTGGAGGAAAAAAATCTATAGTAAAATGTTATTCTGTCAACATGTTCCTAAGAATTAAATAATTTATTGAAAGTAGAATAAGAGATGACCAGTGTCTACAATAGCAGCTGGGAATATTGCACAATTTTGCAATAAAAACCGTATGAAGCAGAAATTGCAACTTGTGCATTAATTTTGAAATTTTAATTTTATTATAAGGACGCAAATCAACCACGATATATTGTTCCTTCCAGTGAAAAACCGCTATCGAGGACATGTTCTACACAAAAGAAAAATCTGAGGTATTGTTTCGAAAGATTACCCCACCTTCAACACTCCTTTTTAATATATCATATACATAAGACAAAATGTCCAATTATGCTTTGAGGTTCAGCTTGAGAGAAAAAAATGACATTGCTAAAGTTCAGTTTTAGGTGTTACATATCAAGCACAAATGATGCATACATATTCAATTCAGCAGACAGCATTTGCTTCATATTGAACATGTAAGGGGGCCTGCTTTCGCTCAAGTGATTTAACTGCCCCACTCTTCACTTCATCACTTTAAACACCTTTCAAAGTAAACAGAACCAACATATCCACCACGCATTGCTTTTTGAACATTCTGTTCAAAAAGACGTCTGTTATTTTGGAGCACTTCAGCTGCTTCTTTATTCAACGGGTCTTCAGGATTTGGCTCCTGTATGTAAACAAATAAGACAGATGATTAATAACGATTAACAGACGTGTATCACAATAGATAAAAGAAAAGATAACTACAACCGGTACATACCAAAAACAAGTACTGCAATCCATACACAATTGAATTAATGGTAAGAACAGGTTTCCAGTCCTCGCGTAATATATTAAGGCATACATTGCCTTCTAAGTCAATATTCGGGTGGTAAACGGGTGTCTCGCATTTAACCTTCGGTGGTTCATGAGGATAGTTTGGACCAACTTTAAAACTAAAACTAAAGCGCCCTCCTCGATAAAAGCCCTGAAACAGAAAATCGACAAACAAAATTCAATAAAAAAAGGGGGTGCATGTAACATCAAACTTGCAGCACATTTACTTTATCTATGGATGAACATTTGCTAACTTACCTCATCAGGACATATTATAAGTTTGAACGACAACAAATCATCTGGGTCGGGAAACTCTGTATTACACGTTTTAGGTAAATTCAATTCATTGATATCTGAAACAAATTGGCATATGTCATTATGACAATGGCTTTCCAAATGGGCGTAATGTGAAGAATAACTCAATTCAGAACGGTACTTTTTTAACCAAAAATCAAGCTACGCTACAAACAGTCGCGTTGGAACGAAATAACAGAATCTTCACTGACGTACCGTGATAACTACATACCTTTCGTGATTCGTAACTGGGCAGCAGAGGCCTTCTTTTGATTACCAGCTTTCGGAGCTGCTTCGCCATCTTTTTTCTGCTGCTTCAAAGAAAACAATTTAATCATTGTTAACTTATATACTACTACTTTTGCACCATAAGAGGATGTTCCAGTGGCCTTATGACACTAAAATATAAACACTATATATAATTTTTCTAGAGAGAAGACTCCCTGATGCCTGCAGTTCTTCCAACTTAACAGTTCCTCAATTCCTACTTACGCAGGGAAATGTAAACGTTAATGTCACAGACAGGTCACTGATTGTCCTCGTGTTAGCGCTTACTTCAAATTTTGCCTTCATGACCGTGAAATTTTTAGTGTAAATTACTCAAAATAACTATAAGAGTTATATTCGTACTTGGAGCCGCACCATATTGAACGGTAAGGTTAGAATATTTTATTAGATACATAAAATTCATGAGCAATTCGTAAATGTTAACGTTGCATAATCTTGCCACACATTTGGTTATTACTTATCGAAAATTATCAAACAACAAATTTTTATGTTGTTTGTCTGAAATCCGTAGAAATATGCAACAATCATCGGTAGAATACTCAGATGTAACAATATCTCTAGCATTCAAATTAACTTGTGAACTTTGGGGAATAATCACATTTTTTCTAAGGCTTTTTTTGTTTGATATTTCAATGTGAATGAAACGGTTCATACTATATTAGCGTGAGGTTTTATATTTGAAACCCATCAGCTTTGTTTCATCTGATTGCTGAATAAAAGTTTTCTTGATAGCTTCATCAAATTACTGGGTCGGTATGTACTTATTATTATTTAGTTCTATGTTTACTAAAATGATTTTATATCATTCTATAAAACGAAAAAAAAAAAAAAAAAAAATTAACATCTAAAAGAAGCATTATACTTCTTTATTACAATTATAGCTACTATTGGTATAATCATTAGCCAAGGTAATGTCTGAATGGTAATGATTTTTAATTAGCAAAGAGGATATTTATAGATCTTCCCCATACCTCACATACAGTTTTGTTTTGTTCTTACTGTTCTTTGACTAAATAAATCTAAACCTATACATTATGGTGCCACTGGAATATCTTCTCCTTCATACGTCACTTATAGTTTATAGTGTTCTGTTCTTTGACAAAATCAAATAAAATCATTATCTTACGGTATGAATTTCAAGTAGGTTAGTCACTAGAAAAAAAAAGTATTATTTTATGAAACTGATTTCAAATTGTGATTTGTGTTCTCTCATTTGCAAGACTTATCAATTACACTTCAACTCATTATTGCTTGTACGAGGAATTATTGATATAAATGTAGAGGCATATGAGTAGTACCTAATTGATATTAATCCTGTTTTCAGCTGTGAAAGTTTTTTGAATATTTTCAATCTGACATGAATTCAGTTGAAACAATGCAATTTTAAGACATGAACTTGGTGATTACCTGCCAGAGACCTCAATATTCCAGGTGATTCCAAAGAAAAGTATTTGATTTATGGTTATTTATTGTCTTTATTTACTTCATGATATCATTGTGTCTCGTATTATTTGAAATACATGATGAAATATGTCAACATTTGTAAAAGCAATTTCCGTTTTGAGTTTGTATTTCAAAGGATAAATACGTATGGATGTTTTCTAGGTATTCAAATCTGTGAAAAGGGTTGTAAACTGAATCATACGAGAGAAGACATTTGAAACTTAAATATTGCTTCTTCTCTTTTTAAGACTATTTTCAACATTTATAAGCTATATTCACAAGAAGATAATATTTCATGTAAATTTACTCTTCTCTTCTTTACAACTTATTGCTATGTATTAAATATTTTTTTTTCTTGCATACTACATATGTAATGTAGAGAAAGTATTGTAATGCTGCGGCAAAAACGGATATTTTTCGATCGAAAAACACGGGTTGTGGGTTTCTGTTGCCGAAAAAGTGAATATATCCTGTTCCTGTATGTGGAAAATTACTTAATTGTACATGATGTGTATTCAGAATTTGTTGGTCTTTGATAACTAAAAATCGGCTGACGGCAAAAGTCCGTCCATCAGTATGCAATGTGAGGGCCCAAATCGTTCAGACGATTTCTCCAAAATTGATATTCCTCCATCAAACTGGTCGAAATCGAGGCCCTGCGAAATTGAAACGAATATTTTGATTTTGAAGATATTGTACATAAACCTTATTTTTTTTCTAAAAATGACCCCAATTTTTTTAAATTCGTTTTCCCCCTTAGGGCCAATGACGAAAATAGCGTAGGTCGTCTTCGAAAGTTGCAAAAGTTCAAATTAGCAAGGTTGCAAAAGTCCTATAAATACAATATTGATAATAGAGATTTTTTCTTGATGAAATATTTATCAAAAACATCTGTAATTAAGGTCATGTACACTTTTTCGAAAATATGAGTAGTTTTTGCGTACTTGTGTGTGAAATATTGGCATCTTTTAAAAATTATTTTCTCAAAAAGAGTTTCACATTTTTGCTTTCTCGCCATAACTTTGTGAGAACAGAAAGTAGGGAGTTTTTGCGACGCGTTACAGCAATCGTCGGCTTTATCGGCAGTGGCGTAGCTTGGACGTCAGTCGCCCGAGGCAGAGGAAAATTTCGCCGCCCCCTTATTTAGGTATTTCTGTTTAAAAATCAAAAATATACAGTAATTCTGAAGAACGTTTCAGCAAGAATAATCGTAATTATTGTGTATTGCACAGATTAAAAATAAAAATGTCGTGTATACATGTTTTACTATTTAATAATCACATTTATTTAAAAACTTTTTACACATGCCATTTTCATTGGTATAACAGGAACAGAACACATGATTATACCTTGACGATCGACGAGGTTAAATTATTATTGAATATAAAACACAAATCGACTTCCAATTAGAACTAGAACGATACTGTTACTATTTATATTTTTATAGAAAAATGTTAGAATTAAAAACAAAACTTCTGTCTTTTACTAAACGTTTATTCGTCTACTTTTTTAAAGAGCAAAGTCTTTTATTGCACTTACAATGCCTATAGCATCACATACCTTTTGCTCAATAGAGAAGATAGCCAGATTGGTTAGCCTTAAAGAATGTATTCATTGTTGATCTTAAGTACTTTTTGATCAATTTCAGTTTTGAAAAACTCCTCTTATGGTGGCATTGCTTGTGGCAATTGTGAGGAATATTCGGAGAATTATTTTAATATTGAACAGAGTGTCTTCCAGGTTGGATTTAACAGTAAATTTTAATATTCCAAGTGTGTCTACATTTATTATTTTCGTTGCCTGTCGCAGCAATAAAAGTCCGCAGTCGAAGTCGTTCCACCATGAAGTCCTGCTCGTCAATTTCGGTAGAGGCTAGATTATATATAGTATCGTCCGATTTTAGTAATAAAGCCGGTGCGTTCGATAAGCAAACTTATCTACCAAATTCTGTAGCAGCTACAGATGTTTTTATAATTAACTTTTACAAAATGTTATTATTTATTTTGCCTCCCCTAAAAGTGCCACCCCTACTACGCGACGCCACTGACCGTTCTTCTGCACATCCGTAGTTCGAGTTTTTCGTCACTAGGAAGCTTTTGCACGGGCAACGATTGACTGCAATCTCGATTTTCTGCGCACGCGCTGATGCACAAATGTGATGCGAAATGGGAATTGCGCGTGCGCAAAAGATCGCTAGTGCTGTCGATTGCTGTAATATTCGAGGGTGCGAAAACTAGGGAGTTTGTGCGCACCATAGAGGACAGTACTATTGATCTTCTGCGCATGTGCAGACGCATTAGTGATGCAAAATTTGGACTTCGCATGCACAGATCATAGTGCTTTAACGTTCGAGGGTGCATAAACACCCTACTTTTGTGCGTCTGCAGAAGCGCAGAAGATCGAGATTGCAGTCGATTGCTGTACGACGGTATGCCGTGCAAAAACTCCCTAGTATTGTAACTGCGCGCCGGAAAATGGCAAATTTTCGAAAGAAAAACTCTTAATTACCGGGCCTTGATAGCGAAAAAGTGGATAGATCTTATTTCAATGATTTACTTCCTCTGACTCCTAGATCGTTGTGTAGTCAGAATCCTTGTGTTTTGGTCCTTGATACCGAAAAATACTTTGAAGGCAAACGTCTTCCCCGATCGATTTGAAGGAACTCGAGGCCGACTGAGTTTGAAACGAATATTTTGATTTGAGCGGGTACTTTATACGCCTCAAAATTTTCTAAAAAATGACCTCAATTTGTTTAAATTAATTTTGTCCGGGCGCTTAATAATGGTGCAGATCTCATTCTTTTCAAAATTCCCGATTTTTCAAAACTTGCAAAAGTTAAACATTTTCGATGTCTTCTTACAACTAATGCATTGAAGATTTTTTCCGTAATAAAATATATTCTTTAAAATTCTCTTGAAGAAAGGCTATGTACAATTTTTTTCGAAAATATCAGTAGTTTCGCGTTCGTGTTTATGTGAAATGAAGTAAAAAAAAAATAGTATTTCTCGAAAACCGCTACAAATTTTGTCTTTAATTTTTTTCCTCGTATGTATCACAGGACAGTAAACAATTATTGCTAGTTTCATTTGCAGCGAACTCTTTGAAGTTTTAAAAATTGAAAAAGTTAACATTTGAAAACTACGAAATTGAAGATACAAATGTTTGTCTAAAACAAAATATTTTAAAAATTAGGTCTTTAAAAATGTTATCTTCAATTTATTGAAAAAAAACAACAACTACAAAAAACTAATAGTTTTGCGTAATCTGTGCATGAAATTAAAGCAATAAAAAACAATATGCCGGTACGGATGACCGAGATCGCTAAGGCAGTAGGACCAAAGGATCGCGGGTTCGAGGCCCGCCTCGGTCGGCCATGGTTGTATTGTGTTTGTTTCACCCCCTATCATCGTCGTTATCCTCATAATTGCCATACCGTTACACGCAATAGTGGTCGCTAATGACCTAGAAGTTAATGCAACCTTAACCACAAAAAACAACGACAACGGTATTTTCTCAAAAATTGGTCCAAATTCTTCCTCTCATAGATAGATCAAGGAATGTTTATAAGAATGACGCAGGTCTCATTTTCGTTGAACTATCAGAATTTTCGAAAATGGAAATTAATAAATAATGGGAGAAAATATGTGATGTAGTAGTACCACTAGTTTCTGCAAATTTCTTCAACGGAAAGAGAAAAGTACGTTTATAAAAATGTGGCAAGTCCGATTTCCGGTGAACTGTGTATTTTCGAAAACTGGGAAAAAATAACATCGCAAAACCACAATAT